CGGTAGATCTGGCAACCATTATTAATATTAGTATTAGGAAGAACAAAAAGAAGGAATCTAACCGTCCGAAAATGACTTCCACCATATAATTCATTCATTTTTGTCTCTCAGCTTATTTATTTTAAACAGCCAAGAATAATGTAGATAAATAAGCAGAGATATGTTTATATATTTATAGGAATTTCATATGAATGAAAGAAAACTATATGCATTATCTGGATTTATATATAACAAATATATTCACAATGACACATAAAATAGGCGCATAAGTTCTGAACTTTGCATCAATTTACATAACAACTTGTCATGTAGATTTATGATAACGACTGTACTTTCAATTATTGTTTATTACATCCCAAACGTGTAAAGCTGCTTCGAGTTCATAACAAACCAGGAAGCACTGGATAGTTGTTTCGCTATAACTTGATTCACTTTATTAGTAAACGTGTACAATTCCACATAGTTCATTGGACTTACGTTCTCTGGGACAGAGTGGAAGTTTTCTATCACCAACTCGGGATCTAGTGTCCACATTTTTTAAAATCAAACAACTTGTGACCTTAAGTTAAAATATTTGATGAATAACCGCCTTATTCAGAACTTTCTTGAAACAAATGATCAAACATTAGATCAGAATTTCGGGTAATTTAAAGTAGTTACTAGTATTTATACTTAGTATTTTCCCGAGTGCGAATAGTATAACTCTGAGACGACCAGTGCCGACAAAATATTTGAAAATACGCTTGTACTATGAATTTTTACCAAATGTGCATTAGCAGATTGTGAAAAGCAGACTACAATGAGGAAAACAATAGGTTACTGAACGAGAAATCCAGCTTTCCTTTGCATCTTTGAATGGGTATGATTTGAAATCACAATATAAATAGGTCATTTGAAAATTACGTAACACAAGCACTTAATTTATTCACTTCTGACAGTTGATGGATGCAAAGATTACTCCAGTATTGATAATAAAACAAATTTGTCAGCTCAGGTGACTAGAACTATGGTACTACTTCGAAAACTGTACACATACTAAAGGCTAGTAATAAACACATCCTTGGCGAGAGATACATAGCTAGTTAAAAAAGGCGTTGAGATATTGATGACGCCATTTTGCTTACCAAGACTCGTAAACCAGCATGCGTTGATAATATGATTGCTCTGAATTATAAACAAAATTCTACAATTCTCACTTGTGGATGTTAAGATTTAAGTTCCTTCAATAAATAAACCTTAGGTGAGGAGAACTACTGTGTTGATCACTCAATTATTGAAGATTTTGCAAATTGATTTTCTCATAGATGTATTCAACTTGACATCTTAATTGCACATCCATTTTCTTTAATTGATATGGCTTTTTAACTTGCCATAATTGCCAAAATTAGTGTGATTAAATCCTATAACATTTTTTAGTAATCAAAACACGAATGACGCGAAATCTACCATTTAAATTTACAACACGGACTAACTCAAACATGATTTCATAAGCTTACCCTAATATACTGTGCGCCATAATAGTGTATAGGAATGAATAGCTGTAGATATTGTAGAAGTTATTACGAACAATTGTTAGAGCAAGTATCCCTACTTTTTGAATTTGCTATGGGGGTTCTAAAACTTAACAAATTTATCTGCGTTCAACAAATTTTAATAAGAGGAATAGTACTACTTTAATTATTGTCAGTAGCCTGGTAGTATTGATTTAGATTTCACACATAGCTGGCAGGCATTAATCCACGTTCAAAGCCTATATGAGAAGAGAAGACTTCTAAGCCTTAACTGACAGGCTGAAGGTAATTTCATGAATCGTTTAGAATAAATCTAATAATAAAGTATGCACAATTTCCCGACATCTGCTTTATTGATTTTTTTAAGAATAATAGGTTTATGAGACAATCTTAACATTGGTACAGTATAGAATTATCAAGATAAATTGCGCATTATTACAGCAAATATCTACTTAACATATATTCAAACCTTAATCATTCGAAATATATCCTGGAAATGCTTTTAATAGTCAGTATGTTTCACTCGTATCCAATTATCAGTTTTCCACCAGTTCAGCTGTAATAACCATTTTCATTTATAGAAAGTATTAGTGAGATAATCTGGTCTTCATACTGTTAAATTATAAAATAGCTTTTTCAAGACGCTAGATGTTATTCTCACGTAAATGTTTGGCTCTAGGTTTCTTTTAATGAACAAGGAAGTGTAACCATCTTCAGTGAGCATTCGCCATATTTTACGCCACTTTCCGTCCATTATGTCCTTGATATGTATTCCTCTGGAACTCAAGCTATAGTGCATGGGTTAAGTTTCTTTCTTCAGATTCGAAAGAGTTCAACTCTAGAAATTCGTATACCTTCTGATCCAAGTTGACCTTTTATATGCCAAACATTGTGGAGAACCACTTAGTTTTCGTTTTAGCATCAACATCATAGAAACGAATGCAATGATCGACTTTAGTCAAGCTAAAATTTTTATATTGGTTGCTACTTACTCTACTAGTCCAGTTTGTTTTTCAAATGTTTTCAACTATGTAGTTGGGCTTTCCATATTTTCCAAGTGGGAAATTATGATCTTCCTTCTTTTTTTAACTGCAAGATTCGGTTCAAAACAAAGGCTTGATTTATTAGTTGTGTTATGAATGCGGGACGTGATCACTCCGAAGATAACTGCGATACCGTATACACCAGCTCTACTCGCTGTTACATCCTCTACTTGATTATGGTATAAGACGATATACAACTACCGGCACTTGAACGTGTAGAACCCCACAGTCGCAAATCAGAAGATAAGATTCAAGGGAAAAGATCATTCGGTAAGAATCAAAAATGCACAGAAAAACGTGGGTGTTTATAATTATTAGCGTTGGCTATGACATCATTATAATCCAGCCAATCAGCAAGGAGGTAATTTATGCTACCGTCTAATAGTAGCATGCCACGTTGATAATCTAGAAAGCTCTGATTGGATGGGAACACTTCGGCTTCGTTAGAGCCTCTGGAGGCCTCAACGTGCTTCCCGAAGACGTCTCAACAAACGCCTCTACTCCCCTAGCCACTACAAATGAATAAACTTGTTAAGATTTATTGGACAAGGCCAAAAAAGATTTAGCTTACATTCAATTTAATTCGGTGATTAATAACTACCAAGATTTATCATAGTGAGATAACCAATACAAGAGAAATGTGTTGAGAACTAGGTAACTAAAAACGACTGATAAACAATGATCGTAAAGATGCATCGTAAATCAATAAGAGGACTAAAATTTGATCTTCGTTCTTGTTTGTTGTATTTGAGAGTATTATTACCAACGGGTTGCACGAACAACTTTAGTTAATTTACAATAATATTGAGCTTATCATGAAGATTGATTCCCATAAAATTAAAAGTATCTGTGTATATCCTAGTTAATTTAGTAAAAGTATACTTTAGTATTGGATTTTATGTAATTGTATGGATGGTGCCATATATGTTATCTGATATGATAATCCAGAAGTATTGCTATTTATCCTCCCAACGGACTGTTTTGGATTTCAAGAGAAATATCAACCCTGGAGTGTAGACGAACCTAGCTGACGAGTCTCCGTAAGAACGAGACGTGTTTACTTCATTGCACTGCTAACCACAATCCAGATACACCAAGATCTCCGAATCTTACATTACTTTAAGTTTTCAAGTGTTTCATAAAGTTTTTCTCGTTGGATATGACCAAACCGTTAATAGACATTTCTCATAAAAAATATCTTTAGTTTCTGACAACGCGTAATATTATCTAGGAATTACTTCATAAATTAATTGGAATGTTTATTAATCAATAAACATATAAAAAAGTACATATTTTTCAGTACAATTCAGTTCAGAATAAAATGTCGCCAAGCATAAAACTCTCACTAGAAACTGATAGCAACCGAAAAAACCCAGGTAGCATTAAATACCTGAGTACTGTCGCCTGAGACCACTCATACCACTGAATCCATAACTGTCAAGTGCCGCAACGAGGATGATGATACTAACCGATTAAATTCCAAACCAACAGTCTGCATTTCAAACTTTGTGAATCCGCAAGAGAGCATGTGATTCTCAGTTCATTGTGAGAATGAGGCAACTAGACAAGCATCAATTAGTGTGATCCACCTAACATTCCGAATGGTGACATGAGTGTATATATGAAGACTGCAAGATATACTTTTATCAAAATCAAAGGACTATTGAACTACTATTTCCAATGAAGTTTTGGCTAGTTACATCTAAATGTAAATAACTGTTTACTTGCTTCGGAACCGAGAGTAATAACAGCACACGGTATGTGTATTGTAAGCTTATCAAGGCTTTTGTTTGACTGTACTGACATTACGTAT